CATAACAAAAGCATCAGAATTTAATGATGATGCAGAAAAGTGTACTGCCTTTATTGGCACATCATTTCACACCAGTAGCACTGAATTATATTTCATTCAGTCTTTGTATCACTATGAAGCATTTGAGAATGGAAACTTTCACATAGAAACGTTTCCAGGATATCAAATCAAGGATATATAGGTGGAAAGCAAGATTCTATGTAGACTTGTTCTTTTGATTCACCATTATGTAAGGTAAATTCAATTAACATTGTCAGTGATCATCTCCTTCTAATCTACACCGGCATATCCAACTCTTCACCTAAAACTGCTCGACAACACGTATACAGGACTGATCATTGTAGCAATCCTGAATTGCGAGATTACTAACTGCAAGTTCACCCTCTTGAATGCTACAATTACACACCACCCTGTAACTCTTCGTTCTTGTATCTGCATAGATTAGCTGCACACTATCCAGAATAGTAGCACTCATTTATGAAGTTAATAGGTTCCATGCAAAAAAACTGTAGAACTGAGTGCTCACTGTAGGAAGGTAATGCTGAAGAGTTGACCAATATCAAAGCAGGGGAAAAGGCTGCTAGTAGGAAGCTGTACAGTGTTAAGGCAGCATCAGAAACGAACGAAAAGGATATTGGGAAAGAATTCGAACAGGCGTTCTTGGCCTTTATGGCTAAAAGTTTAGATATGCCTAAATATCCATGCATTTCATGTGATAAGTTGTGCTACAGGAGAGAATGTTCAATGCTCGATCATTTAGGTGTCTTGCCAACCAGCACTGAATGGAACAGATTCATCCATTATCATAATCATCGATCTAGTGCAACTGATGGTTTACTGGAAGGTTTCATCTGCAAGTATTGCTTTGACAAATACCAATTAGGATGTTTGCCACCTTGTGTTATGAACAGCCTTAATTTGGTGCTGTGCTACAAGAAATACGCACATTAAATTATTACAAGAAGGTGTTTATACAAAGGGCAAAAGCATTTCAGGTTGTCACTAGGATGGGAACTGTTGCAAAGAAGCACATGCACATACCAGCAGCTCATCGAGTGTGTCAAGTACAGGCACAACTTTTCATCTGCCTTTGCCACTTGAGGAGACATTACGAAAGCTGCCTAAAGTTGATCAACCTTTAATGCAACACAGTAAATTATTTGTACTTATTCGTAGTATACCAAGTACAACCAAAATCGTTTGGCATGATTTTATAGATGTATGTAAAGTATACAGTACACTTAACTTCCCAGCAATGTAAATGATTTGGATTTTGAAGAGCAAATTGGACAAATTTATATCCCTCAACGTCAAAAAGATGTTGATAGGATGGCCATGCTAGTGGAGATTACACCTGACAACGAGGCAGAAATTTATCAACATTACACCATTCATGTTCTTCAAGTACCTAGGTGGAATGATCGGGCAACATCACTTTATCAGCTTCTAAAAGTCAATGAACCAGCACTTGATAACCATCTCAAGCAATTGGATATGCTTTGCTTCCCGGATCTATATCTGCATGTGACGGGTGAACTTCGACTTGACCGAGAGGTGAATTTAAGTGCTGCAGAGTATGTGAAGGTCGTTCCGCAGTCTCGTGATGTACGATTTCACCTCAACCAGCAGTTTATATATTTTTTCCTGTATCAGACAACTATGAGGCAGATTTCCAGTGGAATATACCACTAGCACGTCCAACTGAAAGGCTCACAGCACCTCATTGCCTCTCTTTGCTGTCCAAAGATAAGTTAGAAGGAAATTCAACAACAATCTTTGCATGTCTTAAAAATAGTGAGCAGTGTTGGACCCCAGGGCCACGTTAACCATTGCGCCAGGGTCCCAAGTGGTGAGGGACCCCCTACTAATGATCCGGACCATCAGTTTAACTCTCTCTTTTTTCGATAAATCTTCATATTTTATCTTTTATTTGTTCTATTATTACTCAATACAGGCTAGATCAATTTGACCAACCTTGTAACCACCATAAAATAATAATTACATTTTTATTTTTCTAGAATTACTTAAAATTGTAACAGGAAAGAACATTTCTTTACACTAAATAGTTTGAAACTTCTTAACCTTATACAACTGTTTATGATTAAATTTTATTGTTTTATTGCCTTTTGGACCATGATTTTTAAAATTCCCACCATAAGAAGTGTCAAAATATGCGATAACATGAAGTTGCATAAAGCTCGTGCTACTCGTGAGCTGTTAGTCCTAGCAAGTGTACCTCGTAGAAGAATTTTATTATTATTATTATCATTATATTTATTTATATTACCTAATTTAACCTTATATAGCCTAAAAGTTTCTAAGTTTTAGGTTTTTAAGTTATTTTTAATATAATAAATAAAGAATGGATAAGAAAAACAAGAAATATGCTCCCCAGTGGCACAGCGGTATGTTTGCGGAATTACAATGCTAGAAACCGAGTTTCGATACCCGTGGTGGGCAGAGCACATATAGCCCATTGTAGAGCTTTCTGCTTAACTTCAAACAATAACAAGAAATATATCACTTACCTGTGTAGTCTTTTTTGTTGTTGTTTTTTGCCGTCGACTGGCCTTCTATGTTAGTCCTACTACTTTACATCAATGCTAGATTAAACATCTAACTAATTCTGGTCTCATTGGTCTCATGATTAAACATCTAACTAATTCTGGACACATGATTAAAC